CAACTAAGTCAGATATTACTGCAACCTACGCAGTAAGTTCAGTGGCTGCCATCTATAAAACTCCATTAGGTAGCAGACACAAGCTATAATTAGACTATAATGTTAATTTACCATTAATATGCCATTACAGGCTATCTTCGTTCTCTATATGCCCCCCCCCCCCCCCCCCCCCCCCCCCCCCCCCCCCCCCCCCCCCCCCCCCCCCCCCCCCCCCCGGCTCTTCTCTTGGGAAGTTTAGTGCAATATCCACGATCAGCACCAGGGAGTTTCTATTGCACTCTCCTTTCCAGAAAGCTCTCAGATCCCTCCCTGTGGTCAGAGGCACAGCATCTTTCCATGAACTATTTATGTATTTATTATTTATTTGGATTTTCAAAACAGGGTTTCTCTGTGTAGTCCTGGCTGTCCTGGAACTCGCTTTGTAGACCAAGCTGGCCTCGAACTCACTGAGATCTGCCTGCCTCTGCCTCCCGAGTTTTGTTGTTTACTTGGAGGGGCCCTCCAGAATGGAAGGAGAGTGGGATCAGAGGCATCTTGCTTGGGCACTCCCAGTGGGGGTGACTTGAATAAACACCACCTGTATCAAGGCTGGCCCAGTGGCCACGCGGTTTCTCCCTGGTCTCTGTAGAAGTACAGAGTACAGAAGTACAGAGAAGTGTCACCTGAGGCGACACTTCCTGCTGACTCCGCCCTCCTTCCTGTGAGTCTTTCTGTGGTTTTCCTTCTGTTCCACATCTCCCCTGGGAGGTTCCCCTACTGGGAAAGAGGGCTATTCACTAATTAAGCATTAATTAATTAATTAATTAAGAGAGCTAATCATATCCATGTTTAGGTTTTCAGCTCCCATGAAGCCCTACCTACTAAGAGGTTAAAGTTCAAACAGCCACTGAAAACATGACCTCATAAGGTGTGATTCAGGGGGAGGCGCTCCAGTTAAGGCACAAACCCGTGGAGACAATAATAAAGTTGTAATTTCAGAGGCAGGGAAGAGGCAAGAGAAAATAAAAATGATTCTTTAACTGTTTGTCATATTAAGCTTAAGATATATCTATTTAAAAAAATCCAGGAATTCATACAATGAATCAAATGTAAATAAGAGACATAATGGGGACAATAGAAAAGACATTAATTTTGAAACTCGGTGTCCATTAATAAATAGAAAACATTAAAAAAGACACAGATTGGGACAGTTTTTAAAGGAGATATTGGTATTTATTGCCGTGCACCATTACAGGAAATGGATGATCATATTTTAAATGCATTAAATTTGGCCATCACGCTCACTTCATGGTGTGAAGAAAAACAGCACTTGAATGATTTTTCCCTTAATTTGTTCTAAATTACAGCAAAGTGCTCTGCAAGAAGCAAGTGCTTGTGTTAATTAACTCTGAGTAGAGAAGGTCACTGGCACACACAGGGCTCAGTTTGTGGCTTTAGTGAGATATTCTCTCCTGCAATTAGAATTCATCATCAGGAATTAGAGACGTGTGCAGATTTTCATTTCTTCATCTAGCACTTCATGTTTGGGCACTTTTGTTGACTCTTTAAAGACATTGAAAGCGCAATAACAATAATGAGATGGACTTATGAAATGAAACACACGGTCCACATATTTATTTACAAGCATGCTTACAACATTGGCATTTTCTTCGAGCCTGAATTTTTGAGCTGAATCCATAAAACTGCGTTCAAATGGCTTAACAGTGCTCCACAACATAAAGAATTAACAAGTCTGAATTTTAGTTATGTTAAATTGTAAGATCATACACAAAATTATAAATACTATACAGTCTCTAAATCATCCTCCAGGATCCTCAAAATTCCATTGGGGTTTAAAGAGCCACCAACAGCTAAGTCCATAGTTCTAAAATACACAGAACTTTTAAATCTTCTTTCAAATTTTCACTTCCCTTTAGTTTCTTAGGATGTGTGCTGTTATCTTTATGCCTATAAAATTGTGAATGCTATAGTACATGTTTTGTGGGTCATACAACACATGACATGATACAAGTGTTAAGCTGAAATTGTTCATGTGAGTTAATATTTGAATGCTAGGCACTTGCCTCTTCTGATCCCCTCCAGTATCAACTGTGAGTCACTATTTAAATGGATTTAGCCACAGTGTCAAGGTAATTATATATGTCATTTCTGTGACTGTCGTTTGTCCTGGATTTGGCCATTTCAAAGAGCTAAAGAGACGTTAAGACTAAACAGTCATCTAAAGAGATCATTCAAGCGTGGAGCTTCCAATGAGAAGAGTTACAAATTTAGAATGGGAAGGACTCAAGATACTATTAATTGAAACAAATCCAAGACTTTCTAATTCTTAGGAATCTATAAAGATACTCAAGTCAGTCACAGGATATATATATATATATATATATATATATATATATATATATATATATATATATATATTAATTTTTAGTGGTCATAGTGTCCACACAGGATCAATGGCCCTTCAGCAAAATAACATGTTTTATTTTTTTATTTTTTTATTTTTTATTTTTCGAGACAGGGTTTCCATGCGTAGCTTTGCGCCTTTCCTGGGACTCACTTGGTAGCCCAGGCTGGCCTCGAACTCACAGGGATCCGCCGCCTCTGCCTCCCGAGTGCTGGGATTAAAGGCATGTGCCACCACCGCCCGGCGAAATAACATGTTTTTAAGGGGTGCATACTAATCATGAGTGAGTTTGTAATCCTGCTACCTTTATGTCTTTTTTTTTTTTTTTAATGCTGTAGCTATGAAATTAAGTTCTGGGGGCTGGAGAGATGGCTTAGTGGATAAGAACACTGGCTGCTCTTCCAGAGGACCTGTGTTCAAGTCCCAGCACCCACATGAGCTTACAATTGTCTCTAACTCCAATTCCAGGGGATCTGGCACCCTCACACAGATGTACATGCAGGCAAAACACCAATACACATAAATAAATAACTTTAAAAAAGAAATTAAAAATAGATGTGTATTCCATTCCTAACCAAGAAGCTATTTGCAACTGATACCTCCTGGGAGAAGAGAAATCAATTTTCTCCAGTGAAGTAATTCTGGGTATATCAACCAGTTGGCCAACACCAAATGGATGTCATGGGTTTTTTGTGTGCTTTTCATTTTGTTTTGGTTGTTTCCTTTTTTTTTTTTTTTTTTTTTTTTTTTTTTTTTTGACTTCTGGTTTTTTTTTTTTTGTTTTTTTTTTTTTTTTATTTTATTTCTGTTGTTGAGAGAAAGACTATGATGTTGGGTCAGAAAGGAAATGGGGAAGATCTGGAAGAGTTGGGGGAGAAGAAAGAACATGATCAAAATACAC